TGGGACCCTCTTGTCTTTGAGAACCTTCATGCTCCTAAAAAGCACGGCTGATGCCTTAGTTATTTCCAGATATGGCCTCTCAGGCTTGATTTTTCAAGCATTCTGGACAAAGCCCAGTCCCAGTTTTCTGCACCTTTGGAAATCAGCTAGTCAACAGTTGTTTGAATAAGTATGCTCCGGAAAATCAAAATGCCCTTTTAAAATTCATATAATCTCTAATTATCGTATTACCTCAGGGAGGAAGGCCTGGTGGTGCTTAATAGAGCTCTTTGGGGCTGTTGTGCATTTTAATTGAGTGAATAATTGTAAAACACTTCAGGGCCTTTTGGTAAAAGGCTCTGTATAAACATTGCAATAATGCTGAATAATCAGGTTGCGGTATGAACTGAAATAAATGAACCCTATAAATAGACATGTAATTTATATATACATATAATGTATGTGTGTATATATACCAACATTTTGGAGAGAACAAGGCAGTTACTTTATAAAAGTCCTACAGTTCTTGAATAAGAAAAAAACCTGAGATTGCATAGCGATAATCATAATAATTGAAATGTTAGTTTTCAAGATATTGTGAACCTGCAGTTTATCCTCCTGTGCAATGCATAGAGAATTGCCAGAAGTGTTGATGTGCTTCAGTGATGCTTCTTGAGAAACTGCAAAATATGTTGTATTTTATGGTGGAGGAACACGGAGGAGGTAGATCCAAGGTACTAAATGTTTAAATGCCTAAAGGTGTCGATAGACATGGTTTGGAGGAACCAAGGAAGTTTCACTTCAGATGCCTTTCCCAAGGTATTGCTGCAATGCAGTGGTAGGGTTTGGAACGGAGCAAAGACCTCCTGCAGCCCAAGGCAGTGCCCCTCCAGGTGTTTTCCAGGTGGAGCAATGGGAAAGAACATGGGACACCAGCCTCAGCGGTGGTATCGGTGCTAGGTCTGTAGCTGATCTGCTGTGTTACCCTGCATGAATCAGTAGCCGCTCCATTTCTCCTGAACGCTTTGGCTGTCTGACCTCTTAAGACTATAATTTTCTGGGGCAGGGACTCTGTTTCTGTGCTTGTACTCTCTTGTTATTCAGCCCGTTAGGAGGGGGAATGCCTCTGAAATGGAGATGATGGAGATGAACTTTTATAGTTCGTGCAAAAAAAGCCAATGCTGGGCAACGCGGTGCTAGTACAAAGTGCTCTATTCTTAAAAGGGACTTGACACAGTGATGATGCCACTTCACTTAGTTAATGAAAGGAGCCATCTAATACAGGCTAAATGCAAAACTACATAAAGGAAACTGGCATTTGAATGGCTTGAGTGCTTGAAATATAAATGAATGGGACAAGACCAGACTCTGTTTCTAAAGGAATCAATTACCAGGCATCCTCTTACTACTGTGAAGCTCTCATTTGCAGGAGCAGTCAAAGCTATTTTTGCTGGGAACTAGGATATTCGTTGCTTGAGATTAAGCGCATCTTTTAAGAGATAAGGAGACACTGAGGAATGCTGTGGATTCAAGAGGGGTAGAAAGACTCTGAAATTATTTTCCTTGCTGTAAACCTACTGAAGAGACTGATGTAGTGCTGGGCACGATTTGAGTTCTGTAGAGTTGTACCCACAGCCGGAATGGTTTGACAAAATGATCCATTGTGTATTAAATCTACAGATTCAAACCATGTAGAAAATGTGTGGGCTATTCAGCATCTTAGAATAGGAATTAGGTTGGACTAAAGTTTCCTTTCTCTTCCCAACTGCAGAAAAATAAGGATCTGTAAAAGAAAATGTCTTGAGTGAAGGATAATGGAATATACTGATTGCTAATTAAATTTTTATCTCTGGAAGGTTCTCCAATGGCCTATATGAGCTGGTAGCTGAGGGTTTTTCCAATAGGATCAGTGTCTGAGCTACCACAGAAAGCACAAATATCCCTGTTTAGCATGTTACTGGAATCTTGGAGACAGCTCAAGGACTGACTTTACTGCGGAGACCCCATTACCTTTTCCTACCCAAAGGTGGTCCTTCCAAGTGAGGTCTGAAGCTTCTCAACGGGGTAGTGCGAGGAAGCTTGCTGCGTTTGTTCAGAGGATGAGTTTCTTTCACATGACCATTATTTCATCATTTTTCACATGCTCCAGATTCACTTAAACATTGTGCCTAATGCTACTGACATTGGATATCTATAGCTCCCTTCCCATCTGCCAGGGATTTCATGCTTCTGATGAAACAGCTTTAAAATTGCAAAGACAGCCAAAATGTAGCCTAAAATCACAATGATCAAATGCTGTGGCTGTTACATGTGATTTTTTTTTTTTGTCCAAAAAATGAAGAACGGTTGTGTGTCAGAATATCATGGTATTAAAAGTCAATTATCTTTCCAATGAAATACCAACTGGCATCAATTAATGTGGGATCTTCTCTTGCATGGTGTGGTTCCCTTTCAGTTGCTCTCTGTTTCCATTTGTTGGGTTCATCTCTGGTTTTGAATTGCTTTATTTTGGGCTTACTTGGTAAAGAAAAAGTATTTTCAGAAAATTTCATCAAGTAACATGTGCTGCACTGATGTCAGCTGAGGAAATCAGCGTCAAGAGCAGGAAAAGCCAGAAGATGAATGGATCTCTTAGTTCAAAATAGGAAACAGCTTGAAGTTCCTTTGGGGGGAAACAGAAACCTCATTCATTAACAATGACATTATTTCACCTCTGGTACAGAGTAAGGATTCTGTTCTCCCGGTGATGGACAGATACATCTCACATTCACGCAAATGACCCTGAGCATTCATGGATACAAAGGAACAGCCCTAAAATATTGACAGTTTTGACTGGTGAGCTGTTCTCATGATCTGTGTATGGCTGAGACATATGGCACAGGGAAAAATGCATTATTTGTGTTCCTGAATTGATTTCAGTCTGTGTAAGGTATGTATGTCGCCCTGTCTCATCTCAGTGGATATCAAAGTAAATCTGTATCACCGAAGAGAAGGATCTTGCCTGGATGATGCAGTATTCATTTATTCATACTTTGATATGGGGATGATGTCTGATCAAGCACTCATATATTTTGTGCAGGATTTATCAGTCAGATGTATCTGGGTTTCTTGAGTTTTTTCTGGTGTTTGACAGTAGTGTACATCCATCTACTTGTTCATAGTCACGTACACAAAATTTTGTGGGTTTTTTTTCCCAACCAAACTAAGAGTAGGACAGGAGTTTGTGGCATCCTGTTAAGAACATTTCCAGTTGCTCAATATCAAATGGTCAGTAGGAGGTTTCCCAAGTGCCTTTATTTTCTGTTCCATTACTCCGAGTACCTTCCCTGTTTTCCCTTGGGGCCCAGAGCTGTAGCTAGCAGCCTGACTCCTACCTCATGCTATTCTGAAATTTCTTCATTTATCTTAGACACCGTCATTTTGCCTAAACATTGGTATTTTCCAGAAATCAGCTTTTAAAGTGGAGATGCTTATTAACTTTCTGAAATCATATGTCAGTGAATCACAGAACTGTTTAGTTTAACTAGACAAGCCCTATAGTGATACATGAAAATTATTTTCTTCTTCAGAGTCATGTTTATGTTCTTCTCCAATATGCTGGCTGTTTTATTGCAAAAGAATCTGTAAAAGAGGTAATTTTAAATAGGCACAATATAAATAAATAAATTCTGTTCTGTAAGGTACCCATAACCTTTGCAGAAGATCCTAATTAACCTCCTTATGTCAGCAGAGGAAGCTCTATTGCATTTGGAATTGTCAAACATTTCTTTTTTTTATTAGCAATGATCCCTTTCTGATACCTATAGGCATCATCATTCCCAAAGCAAGCTTTTCATTTCAGGATATTAGAAACAACAGTAGATTAATCGAAGTCTGAAGTTCAGCAGTGCAGAACTTCCATCTATTATCTTGCTTGTCTGCAAAGATTATGCCCTAATAACATGTGAGTGGTACAAAGCATTTAGTGAATAAAGTCCAGTCATCATCAGGTTGGCTCCCTGTGCTGCCATCATGTTGAATTACTGGACCGTGGAGCAGCAGTGACGAAGGTACCAAGTCTTAGGGGAGGTGCTGTTTTACGACTTGGTTGTGATCCAGATTCAACGTAACCATGTGCACATCTCAGTGCGGAGAGGGCACAGCAGACTTTGGGAAGTGGCTCTGATGGCCAGATCCAGGTGCCACTTTGCCTCATATCTGTGAATCAAACTGCAAACGTTCATTAGTGAAAATTAAGTCCTCCAACAGAAAAACACAAATTATCTGGTGATATTTGTACCACACTGGATCATTTTGATAACGTTGTCCCTGTGTTTTCCAAAAGAAATCAAAGCCCCTATGTGCCTGCACAGCAGGGCCAAATCCTGCTCTCAGCAGTGTGAATTCAAAATATGAGTTTTTTCAGTAGTGTCTTTACAGTCATCCTGATCTAAAATAAGAACTGTATTTGCTTTAATCATGCAGTTCCCAAGCTCGACTTTGATGAATTGCAGAAGCAGGCTCTTATCAAGTAACTGGGTGTTCTTCTCTTTATTTTTTTTTTTTTTCCTGAAAAGAGTAGGAAGTTTGCCATACTGCAGAGCAAGATGAATGAATTTGCCATTTGAGGCTGAATTTTCCAAGAAGGATTAGGATGTTTTGCAGTCCTGTAAATGCGGGAATCCTCCTTGCAAGCCCAGTATTTCTTTAGGCTCATGATCAAATTTTGCTCTATAACTACATATGCAAAAGAGGGAGAAGGAATTCCAAACGTGAACACTTCCAACCCTTAACAGCAGCTACAAATTTAAGTGAAAATGATGGAAATTCCCTTACTCGTAGTCAGAAATTATTAAATGTTTTTGGCACAATTTCACAGTGAATTGCTATTTCTCAATCCTATGTTAAAGAGTTAAAAAAAATGAACACAATCTTCTTGTTAGTGCATAGATGTGCTAAAAGGTCACCAGCATGACAGGAGAGAGATGTTCTCATCTGATAATACTACCTCTTTTCTTTGTCTCCCTGTCTTTTTCTTCTAGCTATCCATTTCCCATGGTATTCAGTAGCTGCAGTAGAAAGGACCTGGAAAACAGCCTGGAGAAAGGAGTGGGAATGTGTCTGTTTAACTTGCCTGAAGTCAAAGAGTCCTTTGGTGGGCAGAAGTGTGGGAATGGCTATGTGGAAGACGGAGAGGAGTGCGACTGCGGGGAGCCTGATGTAAGACACCACCCGAGAATTACTGCTCACCTCCTGTCTGCGGGTTTTTAACAGTAAAGACGAATCAGAATTGGTTTGGCATGTTTAACGCTTCTTGGTGTAAAACAAAACTCTCCCTTCGCTGCTTCTGTCTTATCAGCTTAAACCTCAGAGTTCTCAGAAATGCGGGAAGTTTCTGCTTGACTTGCATTTGAGTTGCTAAAGTTCAGGCAGGGCTTTAGTTAAGAATGTGCTTGATTCGCCATTAGAGAACAAACTTTCTCATGGCTTGTCCAACAGACTAACCATGACTAACCGTCGTGTTCCGAACAATAGAAATTCCTTTAAATACTAGCTGATAGGCTAAACTCGAAATAAATTTGTTAACATTGCTCAAATTTCTCAAGATACCATGCGCTAATTGAAGGTTTGTTTCCATATTTGAGAAGCCACTTAAATATTTATATTAATATAAATATTAATAGTTAT